TGTCGTATTAAATTTTGTTATATACATTATTATAGATTAAGCTATAGTTTTTCGTTGTAATATACAAAACATATTACACATCAACGTTACCGTGCCACTTGCCGATTTAAATTTAAAAGGAAACCACGTGAGCGTCCAACAACACCAACCGTGAAATCGCCAAATTTTTCCCTATCTTCCGTACATAAATATTTATCAATACTGCTTTCTCCCTTCCTTGTGTTCCGCAATAAACGGAGCAATGCCCTCCCAATAAAATTCGCACAGGAATGTAATAATAAAAAGTCAAAATAAAATGATGAATGTATCGCGGCCGCAAATCCAAGTTCTCTTCCGCCGGCGTAAACCGATTGTCGGTATCAGCCGCATCCCGCGACTCGGTTTCTTCGTCGCGAAACCGGTTTCCCGCCTAAATCGATAACATTGAAACTTTCCACTCGATTTCCTAATCGTGTAAACTCCAAGACCTTCTCAAATATTCACCTCATAAACATCTTCCAGCACCTCAAACCCGACTTGTAACTACAAACAAGCTTCTCGTGGCGAAAATCACATCTGTTATCTTACGATGCATCGATTTACGAAACTCCATTTTATTTTCATCGAAATGTGAGACGGTTTAGGTCGACGAACCATGAACGGACGGAATGACTAACAATGTCGCAACATTTATGAGGATACAGACTGTACAACATATCCGCGTTCTTTATTTAGAGCCGAATACTACCTGTTCGATGAGTCTTTTTATGACTTTTCGGTATGCATTCGCGGGGTGGAAACAAAGCGAGAAAAACGCGGCGTTTGCCAGAAAATACGAACCGTCGGACGAAAATAGAAGCACTCGAATTGCAATTTGAATTATGAAGCGCGGCAATTCCACCTGACGTTTCAAGGTCAGAATTAAATGTTTTTCAATTTTTTTATATCGAGAGAAGTTTCAAGTACTTTTAATTTTATAAAGAGGAACGTGAGGGGGTTCTTTACGTTAAAATTTATCGAGGTTTGTTTAAAAAAAAAGTATCTAAAACCTAAAACCATCCTTGACATTTTTAATGTATTGTTCTATTTTAACTAACAAATACGCGAAAGAGATCTGCGATTTATCTCAAAAGGTGAATTAGTTATTTTCGTGACCACAATTATGAATCATTGTAGTGCAATTTATGTCCTGCCTGTTGTGAGGACTTCTTTGGACATTCATGTTGTTGATAGATAGAGTGTTGCTATTAATGTCTGTTTTACATTTAAATTGATAATTTTTAACACTGACGAATTTAATAAATTTTTAAGCATGGTGGAAGTTTTTAGATGACGCAGAAAAAACGAAAACTTCGTGTTAAAAATGAAGAAATTTATTTGTTTAATTAAAACGGGTGGAATTATTTACACAAGAAAGTTTATAAAAGGAGTAATATTAAAAAGAAAGTGTTTATTTTGAACAAAATTAAACAAATAATTTTTAGTTGACGTGAAGGACGTGAACTAAAATCTGGACAGTGACTCGTTCATATCTGCAACCCTGCAAACACCAATATCTCAACCTTTTACATATCGTAGGTACTAGCTGTTGCACCCAGCTCCTCTCCCGAACTTTCATCCCCTATTTTACCCCCTTACGGGTGGAATTTCCAAAACTCATTTCTTAGTGGGTGCTTACATTAAAAAAGTAACCTACTTTCCAAGTTTCATGTTTTTTCATGTTTCTACCTTTAGTAGTTTAGGCTCTGCGACCTGCGTCGATGAAATTGTCAATCTTACAGCAGTCATTTAGAACAAACACTGTTGCACAGATTATTCACAAGAAGCTCCGGAGCTCCACGCTTCGATCATATAATAAATATATTATTATTATTATTATTATTATATGATCTAAGGCTCCTCGTGTCTCCACGTCTAAAAAATTTAAAACGCAACCACCAATACAGTTGAATAGTAGTCTTTGATATTTACCATCATTATGTTTTTTCTTTTTTTTTCGGTAAAACACAGCTACTTAGTTGTTTGGTTTTGATAATTCAAAAATAAACGTTAACTCTTAGATCAAAAACACAGTGGTAGAAGGTTAAAAGCAAAAACAAACAAATTCAAAATAAGCTTCCGTCGGGGTGTCTCATATGCGGATAATGTTCTCTGGAGTTGTCTCTTCTTAATGTCGAGCACTTACTATAATATCAAAAGTCATTTGAATACACTCTGCATTCTACAACCGTGCTCTGCTGCTCTGCTTTGCATCAATTCGAGATTAAATATGGATCATCTGATATTATTACATGCATCAATGTTGTTACACGAAAGAGGTAAATATGTTTTACTTTTTTATAAATGGTATGAAATATTAAATGTCGTTTTGAATTTGTATTTCTGATTGCGTCTTGATTTTTGAGCCGTGAAGCACAGTATAGATATATATTATTGGTCCACAAGAAACAAAGAGCCTGAATAAATTTGAAACGCAACCCAAAATACATTTGCTTGTTTTGAATTTTTTCAAATATAAAACATAGTAATCTGAGCTTCAAGCTTTGACGGAAAGTTTAAAATTTGTGAATTTCTGTCATGCCTACGTATTTCGAAAGAAAATGTTTTCGAATGACAAAAAGGTAGTTATGGTGAATGCCAAAAAAACGCGTATAATTTCAAGAAAAAGAAAAATCACAACAAAATTAAAACAATTGTACCTTTAATAACACTGGTCAACAAAATTTAATTTTTTCTCTCTAACTTTGACATACTTGTAATGTTTTAGTTTAATTTGTCTCTGTGTTTGTAAGAAATAGCATAAATCTTATAACTTAGCTCAATTAAAAAAAATATGCATATTTGATGTTAGAAACACAAAATCAGGTAAAACAATTTAATTTTTGTATCTTTAACGGCAAAAAGTGTAGTATTAACAAAAGAACAACCATAAATAAGAAAAAAACAACGAATGTAGTTTAAAAAAAGAAAAAAACAAAAGAAACAGCGAAGACCGACGTTTTTTCGGTTGCCTCCTACAGATTTTATTGGAGATCTCTCGCTTGATGGTCCCGCAGTATTCTGCGAGCATTTAGGTGTTCCATCGATCTTGGTAACGTTTTTCTATCGACAAAATGCCCAGATGGATGCGTTCTCTATGATGGTCACTCACGTCGTCACAATTTTTGGGGAAAAAATCAAAGTGCGAGTGTATAAAATGCACTTTTAAGAATATGTTAATTTTAAATTTTTTATATGATGATAACATGTCTTCTACTTACTAAACGTAGTTTTCTTCTTGTTTCCCAAGAAGTTTGTAGTAATTTGATTACAAAAAAATACACCTTATAGAAAGTTTCCTATTACTTAATAGTACGATTTTTGTATTTTTCAAAGGATAATATTTTAAAATTACTTTTAAATGAGAGCTAAGTTTTGGTTTAGCCCTTTATAATATCATTTAAAATTGCTAATTAAATAATAATTGACTGCTATAATAAAAGTTAGAGCTTAGCTGTTGACCAGTGTAATTATTATTCTAGTGATATTTGAGTTAAAAAAATGTATTAAATATGTAACTTGATCAATTCAGTTCTTTTGAAGATTTTAACAAAGTAATTTCATATAAACTTTTTCGCTGAAAAATGCTGCTGAGCCTGAGCATTGAACATGTTATGTCACTGAAACTTTTTTTAATAAATCCCATTGAAAAAAGTACTTTTATCACATCTAAAACGAAAACGCTTAGTGTCAGTTATGTCTGCGACGAAAGTTCGATGCGGGTAGTTTAGACAATTTTTCGCTTTTCATTATTTAGCAATAATACTTTGAATTTTGATTAACAAAAACTCACAATATAAAAATCGTATTATTTTGGAATGGGATTTAATTAATTAATGTGTATCTTTTTCTTACCTCGATGTGGTTAAATTTTTCCAAAAATATAACCATGTTTTTAAAACTTTGTGTCTGGAGTCTAATTATGTGCCAACAACCTTTCAACTAACATTTCTACACAGTTTAATAAATGCTTACCAATAAAATAAATTTTTCAGTGCAAGATGTAAACAACAATAAAACAATGTAACTGTCTGTATCAAATAAGGAAGCTACAAACAAACCAGTCAAGAATTGTATAGTAGCTAATGTTGGCTTTTATTATTTTAAGATAAAAATAAAGCACCGAAAAACATCTATTTTAACTTGGACATACAGTTCCGCGTAATGACTGAGAACTCTTTCTGCGAAAAACTTTGTTTTTGTATCCAAAGAGAATTTTCTACACAGGTACATTTGTTTTCATTTTTATAAAAACAGATATTGAACGAATGATTTATTATTTCATTCCTAAATATTAACCTTGCCCCGTCCACAAAATATAATTAATATTTTGATTTGATTCGGGTATTCGAGGATTGTCACACCTCCCAATAATGAATGATGCTAACTGCATTTTTTAAATTATGACCTCTGCAACTACAAGATTGAATAAAATATTTGCTTCTTTTCAATTTTTAGTTCTGAAAGTCCATAATTTACCCAACAAATTATTTTTTCCATTTAAAATTGTAAAATCACTCTTTAAAAAGTGTCGGTCCCAAATTTTGATAATTACGTTACCTACGCCTCTGTTTAAAAATGAAAATGACAGTGCTGGTTATGCAACCAATATTACGTCATCGGCCATGTGTGCTCTTCAGTGTTTATTATCATTTTTTTCTCCATCAGACTCACGCTTAAAACATCGCGAAAGTAAACACCCATAATAATCTGACCGGCTTCAAACTGCAATAATAATAATAATAATAATGTGACTGCATTATATTATACTAAGGTCGCAACTAAATTTAGCCGAAGGACGAAAACAACATTTATTTTCAAATTTCTCTCTTACTTTAAACATGTTTCGTTCATTTGTCCACAAGTGACAACATCGCCGATTTACAAGAGTAAAATAATAAATGTGCACTTCTGAAAATCAGAAACCGAAAACACTATATTCAAATGGTGGCGCCAATCCATCGGCACGCAGCTATGTTCACGACTGTGTCAAAGATGGCGTCCAAATCGATTGTCACATCTTCAAACTGTAAGAAATGTCAAATAATCACTTTAATCGGCTTGATTTATGATTTCAGACAAAGAATTTAACATAATAATGCATGTATTGCAATTTTTTCGTTTATTAATGAGCACCCGTAGGAATAATATCTATAATATAGTTGGCTGTAACACAGGGCCTCCAACGTCAAAACGTCAAAATAATGCGGAAAGAAGCCTTTTTTGTCAATAATGCATGTGTTTCTGTTGTTCTTAAAGTCAGGTTTGTTTCGTTGTAGTTTAAATTTAATTACTGAGAATTGTTGGGGTCGTAGCGAAATTTGGGAATGGTTGTTGTTTTGAGGTTAGGGATCAAGGTGTTCTCTACCTGTCACATCGCCTTGTACTATTTTCGTTCATCTAAATTTATCTGTATTTTATTTTCGGTGTGATAACGTGTGAGAAATCGCTAACAAGTGTTTTCGTCGCGTTACCAACATAAAAAGTGACTTTTCCTTTAATCAGGTGTTAATAATTTTTCATTCAATTTTCCCCTACGATGGAAATTCTCACAAAGAAAAATCAATAATGTCCGGGCGTTTCTGCATATAGAAGGCCGTGTGAAGCAGATTTTCCGGTGTGCGCAGGCGCAATAGACGATCAGCTGGTTTTCCATTAGGCAAAACCACCAACAAGGTTGATGGTTTGGTTGCCGTCTTTGCGTCAATTTCCACCCGGAAAAGTCCGGAGAATGACCGGAAACGTGTTTGCTTTGCTTCCAGGCCGAAAAAATTGAGTTGGGAAGGGCAGTTGGATTCGACCGACCAAAACAACAACATCACCATGACTTCCGAGGACCTCCTTCAGCCTGGGCATGTGGTCAAGGAACGGTGGAAGGTAAGGAAAAATTTGTGTACTGGTTGAATTGTATTTGAAGAGGTGATTTTTAGGTCGTCAAAAAAATCGGTGGTGGAGGATTCGGTGAGATCTACGAGGGGCTGGATTTAATTACTAGGGAACAAGTGGCGTTGAAGGTTGAGTCGGCTCGCCAACCGAAACAAGTGCTTAAGATGGAAGTGGCGGTGTTGAAAAAGCTACAGGGGAAGGAACACATTTGCAGGTAGGGGAATGTTGTCAAGGTCATAGTCTGGTGAATGTAGTGTGTAGATTTGCTTTGTTCTTAGTTTTAATTGATAATGAAAATTCATTCTCTGTTCAGTTTCCACAAACTTTCTATATGGTATGTGGCAAATTACCCAGTTTTTTTTTGTAACTTTAAATTATAAAAGTCATTAAATTTACTATCACTTACAAGTGTTGATTTCGTGTGATTTTACAATTTGACAGCTTTTTCTTTTTTCAGTAAATTATAAAAAAATAAATTTTGAAATAGTCTTAACACTTATTATTATGTAAATTAATAGTCGCTGACAAAACTTGGCGACGTGGTGGATTCGCAACAATAGCCTACAGTTGCTTTGTCAAAATTTTTAAGCTTTAGCCAGTGCATGTAAGTGTCAAAACAGAATGACACAAGTGACATTTAAGCATTCACCTCACGTATACGTGACATTATAGTGTTAACATAAATTTTTATCAAATTGAATTGTGGCTAAACCTACATCTGTGTGTAGCTTACAAACAAACAGAACGGACTGCAACGAGTAATCTTTAAGTGGTCCATGGGCTCTTGCCCTAGCTGCATGCAGTACAGTTCTATTGCAGTTAAAATAGCTAAAAATTAGTTAACGTAACGTTAACAGTTCAATTGTTTAAGTTGTCGTATGTGCAGTTGCGGCCGTTGAAAAGTACCACACTGCATTTTGGCGCATTATTTGAAAATTTAAAAAATCGCACAGCCTAAATTAGGTTTTCTATCAAATTTGACAATGCCACTGTCGCTTTGACAAAACACAATTAACAATTTAGATTTTTTTAACCACCGGGAAGAATTGGTATAAAGCATTTCAGATACCCTAGAATACGTACAGAATGCCGTGTTATCAATACCAAGACGTCTCCTAAGCGTCATCGATTCAGCTGGTGCTACAATAAAATATTAACTTTTGTTGAGTTAAAATTTTCTCCTCTACGACACTGTTTTCAGTAACATTTGCGATGACATTTGCAAATTCAATTTCGGAGGAGTTCACAAAGACAAAATTTTCAACATGTCAGCTTCCGTAATCGTTGCGTTCTATATTTAATGTGTAACTAGTATCGATGCCGCTGAATCTGCGTGAATTTCAAGGAAAAACCAACCCTTTTTTGTACCGTACAGTTATCCACCTGAAGATTAATCGCTTCGCTAGGCGGTTTCGGTGCATCCTTGCACAGGTGATTTGCTATTTGTGTCTGCTGTCTGCTTATAACAACTTACAATATACAAGTCTCCTAAAAATTTTGCCGCAATTGACGTTTCTTTGTCCCTAAGTTTTATCTGCATCTTTAGGACATGTGGTTTATAGGGGATGTACTCTCTCAATAGGTCAATTAACATCAAAAACTACCATCTGTGTAAGAGAAACATTGTTCTATAAGGAATCAGAACAAAGTTTAATAAGAATTAAAACTGATTGTAAATTTTCTGATCTCAACAGAATAGTGACATTTATTGTTTCCTAAATAAGACCGTTCAATAATATTGTATATCAAATTTTTCAAGTAAATTGGATTTTTTTTCTGTCCATCAGTAATTCAGCTCTAAACATAGCCAGTAAAAAATTGGTCGAAGCTTCTTTACAAAACGTTAAAATTTGATTTACGATTTTTGTTTTGTGATAACCTTTTTAAAGTAAAAATCAGTGGCGTAAATATTAAGGAAGTATTGTAATCGAGACTTCTAGAGTACGAAAAAGTAGGTCTCTTGTTTCCGTCTGTCTGTCTGCCGTCTACCGACTGTCCGCGTCTGTGTCGATTTTTATTAGACACATTATCTGCGAAACTCTGGACCGATTCTTGTCGAAATTTGTATGTATATTAGGAATATTGCTTAAATGATACAACGCTAAACAAAATTTATCTGATCATCCTCACCAACGATGATATGATTCCATCTCTAGCTTTTATAATAGTAATGATATTGAAATTTTATTTAAAAAAAAGATACTCTCTCACTTGTAGTTTATGAATCCTTGTTGAATTTTTACCCTAGGCGTCCAGATTTTCAAAACCAATTGCTCTGAAGAGTTATCGAAAGCGTGGTAAATCGTTAATGAAAATTTATCCATTTACGCCCTTCTCCCCCCCTAAAAATTGATGACGTAATCTTACAATTTTGCCGAATAAATGTTTTAAATTTTATAAAATAAGGTACTCCTGCATGTGTAATTTCTGAATCCATCTTAAGCTATTAGTCTAGACATGCAGATTTTTGGGAAAAAATCAAAATTGTGTAATAACATTTTGCAATTTAAATGCGAAACGATAAACAAAATGCTCTGAAATCTTGTAAACGTTTAATGGTTATCGTAAGCATAGTAAATCGTTAATCAAAATTTATCCGTTTATCGCCTTCTAAAAAAATTATGACATGATCTCGAAATTTTACCGAATGACTCTAAAATATGCACAATATCTATTAGAAGTATATTCTTATGGTTTATCAATCCATTCATATTTTTTAGAATCGCTTACACAAGGTGACTCAAATAATTAATGAATGAAGGGACATGTTTTATTGCCCATCCCATTTTCCCGAAAATTTGAGGATGCAGTACTATTATTATTAATAGTACTGCACCTATTCAAATTAATATGTATACGTGTCTTTCTAAAATGCTGATGACGTCGTTAAAAAATATTATATAAAAAAAATTCACTGCAAACATATGCATATAATGCCTCTTTACCCGTACTTTAATAATCCCCACACATATTAACTTTATTCTATTTTAGAACCATAATCTTGTTTATAAGCACCCAAATGCGGGCATAAATTGGCTTTTACGGCACAAATTAGTCAAAAATTGCCAAGCAACGATTGATTATTCATTTACATTAATTAAGTATTCAAACAAGCTTCGATATTCAACATTTTTATTAAAGTTGGGAAAATAACGTTTCTTCAAATCATTCCCTGGGCGACTTCAAATTCTTCTAAAATTTCTTTTGAATAAAATAAATATCCGCTCCTTCAGTTTGCATTTTGAAAATCGAACTATTTAACAAATAAACAACGTGGTATCCATGACAACATCAAAATAATAGCCAGCTATATTATATTAAAGTTCGCATTGGCACAGTTCACACAATTTTGCCGAGTATACTCAAAATTTCGTTAAAAATATTTTAGAAACTAAAATAGAATTACCCCTTCGTCGGACTTTAAACATTCCTTGGTGCTATAATGTCCCTAATTATGTAATTATAATAAATATATATAAATAAATAACTATTAGCTCTTCATAAAAAAAGAAATAAAAAAAGTTTTTCGAAGCTGTATTTATTTGTCCGAATGTACTTTAAGGGCGAGAGAGGTTCTGTCTAAATAATCTTCGACCAATTTATTAATTTCTTATACTGTTCCTACTATTGTCTATGTTTTTTGGGAAAAAACCGAATGTGCTTAATTAATTAAAAATAAGTCGTCTTCTCTGTATTGAGACAAAATCAATCAAATTTCGTTTCTTTTAACATGCATGCTTTGATGTCGGCGCTGATACGGTATGACAGTTTTGCCAACTTTGTACAAAAAATACCAATTAATATAATAAACATATACTTGGTAAAGATGTTTCCACTATATACATTAATTACTTAATTAACTGTCACAAATATTTTATTTTAAACGATCAATGCACATTGTAGTATGTATTTGATTGTTTATAAACTTTAGTGAGCTAAACCTTCTCTCATTCATGAAAAATCTGCAATTGCTAAAACTTGCAAAACAAAAATGCAATTTTTTAAAGGTCTTGAAATTTACTTTACTGTGTAGCATTTGCCAAACAGTAAACATTTCCAATTCTCACTGCAGTTGTATGCCAGCATCTTTTTTTTTTGGTACAGTTAGAATAAAGATTTAAAGTTTAAAGATTTTTTAAAAAGGGAGAAATATAGTGCTTTCAGACACTGTAAAATCAGCGAAAACTGCCTACATTTGATTTGTCAAAATTTTGTGCACATTGAAATGTCATAACAAAATGACGCAAATGACAGACATAATGTCGATTATGGAATTATTTATTAAAGTTTTGGGTTGTCTACCGAAAAGGTCGATTGACTTTTCCAGTCAGTAGTTGACAGTTAAAGTGGTGTTTTGTAATCGATAGTGGTAAGGTGAAAGTGTCTAGCGCGGATCTATATTGAGTTCTTTAAAACTATTTGTAATTTAAATTGATATGATTATAGTTAAAATTTGACTGTATCATAACCTAACTTTCTTGAACGTTTAATAAAAATGACATAGCACCAACATTTGAAGCGGGTTAGGCAATAGGATCGGAATAAATATTTCCCAGAATTAGTTAATTCCACAGCCGGCTCAGACAGTATTTTATTTATTGACCACGCTGTATTTCTCACGACAAAAACATTTTCGACATTACTGTTTTTTCCGTTGAAGTTTTTTTTATGTAGATAATCGGATGATTTTCCAACTATTTCAACAAAACTGGATTTGTTTGTTCTTCAGAGCTGAGGGAAGTTCTGTCCAAATAACTTTAGACGTAATGTTTTTGTTTTATTTTAAAAAAGAGAAATGTTAGCATAACTGTTAGATAGGAAATACCAGTATAATTCGTATTTTTTTATTACAGTGTGTATGTATGTATTATTGAGTTAATGAAGTTAATGTTTGCATAAGTACTTAATATGAAGTCTTATCTACCGAAAGAGCAATAAAAACACGATCAATGACAGCCATGAATTTTGAAGATTTGTGCTTGATGGAATTTTCGTCTTGTCACATTACCGTCAATTTGGAAGTTTTGATTTGATTGAATTTTATTAAAATAATGTAGAAAACATGTTCTGATTCGTGTATTGTGACAACATCCACAGTTGCAAAGATGTTTAAATCTGTAAGTAAACTTGCGAACATTAAAATCGGGCCACCTTCGCGAAGTTGGTATAGCGTGTTTGGACTGGCCAGCACGTAGCCCGGATATGAATCCTATA